CCCCCAGCCCCACCCCCACCTCCATCTGGGGGACAGGGGAGCCGCAGACACAGGTGTGTGTATGCAGACATCCTGAGCAGCATGTGGAGGCCGTGCAGGAGCCACAGTACCTAGGTTTCTTTGCATTCAAAGTTATCTAAAACAGGGGGTAAGGAACGTAAGGCCCGGGAGCCGAATCTGGCCCCCTAGGCTCCTCTGGGGATCAGCAACCACCAGCTGTTGCAGTTGCCACTGGTTCAATGCCCATGAAATCAACTCCTAACATGACATCATGCATTCCAGGAAGGAGAGGAGCATCTTCAAGGGAGACACATGGCAGACGCTGAAACAAGAGTACAGGGCCCAAAGCCTGAAATGTAGTCAGCCCCCCCTCTCCCATGTCCGTTGCATTCCAAGATCTTTCCTTGGCAGTAGCACAAGTGAGCTAGCTTTCCAAATAAAGAGCAGAAAGAAACCTCTGTGACTCCAGCCATGCCTTGACATATGTCAGTGACAAAAGGCTAGGAGTAGTAACAGCAACAGGGGATCGTGCAGGAAATATGCAAACATTACTAACGGATCTAGGTGTAGGGGAAGTCTAAATGCGTGTTTGTCAAGTCTGTAGATCTGAGAATTATTATGACGCCTACCAAGCAACCAAAATGATATGAAAGGTCTCCATTTAGAATAGCTGCTCCTTCAAACTGGTTGAACTTCAGCCTTAGAATGAACCTTTTCCCCTTTTCTATTTTCTTTACCACTGCTAGCTCAAGTATGCTCTTAAACCACGTAGTCAAGGGATAGATACTAAACACATGGGGTCGTTAAATTAAGTGGCCAAAAAGAGAGTATGCCTTCTTTTTTGAATTACAAAGGTTTAGAAAGGAGAATGGAGGAATGAGAACAGTCTGAAGAGTGAGAGGAAAAACAAATGTGTAGTAGCTCATGTTCAAAGAGAAGACTATTTATTCACTGCACTCAATGACCACTGGTCCCAGAAAAACAGATTATACCTCTCAGACTAGAATTGGGAAGGGATATACCAAAATAGGCAAATGGCAGTAAGAATGCACGGATCTGGGTTTGTCTCCTTGTAAACAAGAGGGTGCATTACCTGCAAAAAATGTGGTCTTATGGAGATATTTGACTTGGGAATCACATAACTGAAAAGATCTTCAAGAAGATGGAGCACTTTGGATCAAACCATTTTGGAAGCTGTGAATGGAGGAAACACTCTTCTGATGTCAGTCAATGTGGAAGCCAAGATATTACTAAAAAATGTGGGAATCTATAAAGGGAAACCAATCTATTCTGTCGTGTGAAGAAGCACTTCCTTTTCCGATCAAAACCAGCTGTGTGTGTGACTCTTAGGAGTGTTTCACAGGTCTGTGAGATGTTGCAAAAAGACTAGATGCAGTATCCCACATAACTGTGGACTGGTGCTCTCATCAAGTGAAGAATTTTCTACTGAAGTTGGTCCACTGCTAAAAATAGCAATACACCATAAGACAAAACCCATTCTCTACTGCTCCCTCCACCACATCTAGTTTTATATGGATCAAATACTCAAGGCTGAAACTTAAATCACCTCAGCAGAGATTAGAAACTCCAAAACAGTCAATACATGAAGTCTCCACTCTGCAGGATTAGTGCATAAACTGGAGCACCAACTTCCCAGACACAGCCTACCCTCAAGAATATGAGAGGAAATACTGAGAGAGCTGCTAATCAAACCCATTCTACAGCATATACAGCTGTTTAGAACCTACCTTGCAGGTAATGTCAATTGGACTGGGCTTGCAGATGGCATTTTTGCATTGCAGATCTGTTCAAGAATGAGACGTGCATTTCCCCCCATTTCCAGCCAGCTTTACTGTTGGAACTTTGGCCCCTGACCTATATTAGGACTATGGCTTTCAGTTATAGGGAACTCAAGCAGGAGTACTGGACTGTTTGTTGGTGCAGACAGGACATGCCAGAGACTGAAACAGTGTTGGTGAAGACTATTCCTTTAGACTATCTGATAGCCTTTGATACTAATCATGAGGTTCTGAGGTCTACTCCTCAGAGTTAATTGTTGTTCAAGTGGCTCAATTTCCTAGATAAATCATGGAACCATTACACTGGCAACTTGATTTGCTTTGAGGGATTTCATGCAGGGTTCCATCAACACCTTTACTATTTAACATGTATCACTAACAGCCTGGGGACATTGAGATTATTGGATGGTGGTGCTAGGACCAATGTTCCCTCTAATCTTTTCCATCCATGTGCAGAATACTTTATGTGCACCAAAGCATGGGGCGAATGTGCACCACTAGTAGAAAAAAAACCTAGCTGTGGGTGCTCTTCTAAGCAGCCGGGCAGTCTCCCAAAGCAGCAAGTGGGCAGCTTACAGGGAACACTGGCTATGACTATGTGGATGACTGAAAAGCAAAAAGCTGCCTGTCACATATCAAATGGTGTTGTGCTGATGCTTTTCTTGTACCTCTAACCACAAGAGGGAGTTACAGGAAGTGCACACAATCCAAACAAGATTAATGTTAATGCTGGTAGAGGCAACAGGAAGGCTACTAGATGGCTCAAAGTTGTCTGCCTCTGTTGAAAGATTTGTCTGCACTTCATTTAAGTCGCTTTTGGATTCCCAGGCTGGTCCGTGACTTCCAAATGGAGCCCATGATCAATGTCTTGTCCTACATCTGGTAAAAAGATACCAGATCTCTACAACATGGCCCTTGCTATGGTCCATCCTTCAATATTTGGCAACAGCTGCAGCTTCTGAACACATGCTGACCATGTACGTAGTGGTATCATATTATACCCATTCCCTGAAGCATGTGCTGATTTTTCTATTTCTTTAAAGATGTACCTAAGACCTAAGCCACATCAAAGAAGAGGCTCCCGCTCCTGTATCTTGGGACTGCCCAGAATCAGCATGGCCTCGGGTGCAGGTTAGATCAGCAATGGTCTGTGTGCAGCACTGCAGAACACATTTCATTACCACATCATGACCCAGACACATCTGTGAACACATTCTGTGCTGAGACCTGAGTGGCTGTGTCCAGACTCAGGGTTTTTTTCGAAAAAAGTATCCTTTTTTCGAAAAAACTTCACCTGCATCT